GGGGTTGGGCGAACCGTGGTCTCCGTCTCCATCCTTTTCTGCTGTTGGACTCTGGGAAATCTTCCCTCTTCCGATAGACATTTTAAATTCAGCCTCTTTGAACCGGCCCACCCTCTTCCTCAGCAGCTTATCCTCTGGTCATCCCCGCAGTACAGCCCCTGAGCCTTCCTGCCTGTCTCTCGGAGCCCTCTCCATCCGCTGCTTGGTCAGTCTCTGCCTCACTCCTCAGGTGAAATCAAGGAGCGGTTGTGAGCGCCTTCCACACTGCCAGGCCCTGCGCCCTGAGCTTTTCGTGTTCACGGCGGTGACAGAGTCGCCACAGGGATCTTGGCCCATGAAGTGGCTTGTGTCTGGCCTCGCACACGAGCGTGTAAAGGAAGGGCAGTGGTGCCAGGCGTCTGGGCACGGGTCAGGCCAGCCAGGTCGGCTCTCTGCGGATGCCTGCCCAAGCGAGTGTGGCTGCGGAGGTGTGGTGAGGGCATGCGATGGTCTGGAGAATCTGCAGGCCGTGGATTCGGGCTGGGAACCTTCCCGGGGCCAGGAACGCCACACCAGTGTGGAGCAGAGTGGCTGTGACAGAGCTCCGGTTGGTTACCGAGGGCGCTGTAGCCAATTATCTAATTAAGCTGCGGACAATTAACTACTTCAGCTGTAACCAACTAATTGGTTGACTGAATAAGTCGGAGCCAGTTAAGTCCTTTTCCATCAGGCTGGAGTTCTTAGACCCTGCTCTGGTTCTGGGAGCTGCTCCGTCTGTGAATCCTGTTGAGCTTTGTTTTGTTCTTTGATTAAATAAACGCTACTAAATTTGATGGGTCTAAGCACTGTGCCTCTAACAGGCATCAGCGACCTGCAGATCTCCATGTCCTGGCCCCTCATGCGCGGTGTGTAAGGGCCGCAGCTCTTCGGTGCTGTGCGACCCAGGTGGCTGCGGTTCCACTCGGATTTCTCACCCTCGTCCGTTGCAGTCCTGGCACAGAAAGCCTTGGGAAGTCTGGATGATGCGGTCTTCAGTCACCATGGAGCGGGAACTCCTGAAGGTCTTTGCTTTCATTCATTATCCATTCGCTGGCTCTTCAGGGTCCAGGTGGCTTCTGAGTGCCTGAGGGGCCTGAATCTGCCCAGCAGTGGGCATGGCCTCAGTGGGAAAGGTGAGCCTGGCTTCTGAGCGTTTCCGCTCCCTGTGTGGTCCTCCAGAGGCTGACATTTAGCCTCAGGTTCAGTCTCATCTTGTGGAAAACAGAAGGGACAGTTATTTTACCTTCATCAGAGTCGTTCCCAGGGTGGAATCTACGGTAAGCAATGTGATGGTGGTAGCACTTTGAAAAGTTCAGGTACATTTTGATGTTGTTTGGCCACCTTTCTCTGCACCCTCGCCGGCATGCGCAGCAGAATACGGACTCGGGAGCATGAGTGAGGCTCTGCAGCAGTTCTGTCCTAACCAGAGAGCCTTAACTTTCCAGACTGATTGACCGGTCAATTGTTTAAACAACTGTACTTAAAAATGGATTTGCAACAGAAATAAAGATAAATCAACACCTATCTATTGGACCAGGCAAGGGCAGAAAACAAAATCTGGTTCTGTTTATCATTTCTCGGGAGACAGCATCAGTTATGGGTGTTGTTGATGAATCCATGTTCATGGTCATGGGATTTACGGCGGCATGGTAAGCACCGTGGCAGACAGCAGGCGGCCAGGGAAGAGCTGGGGCTTCAGACGTTCTCCGTGTTTCTCTCTGTCCGAGTGTACTCTTCCCTTGGTGGCTGATTCTGTATGTATAGCAGACACTGTTCAGGATCAGTTTTTCTGCCTACAGCCTTAAAAGACCCTTGCTGGTCAAATTAACTATGCCTTCCTTTGACCCAGTTCTGTTTCTCACATATATATGACCGTAGTTTGTTTTCTCATTAAGAAAAAATATATACATATTATGGGAAATATAGGACAATATAAAGATTATGGAATGTTCCAGGTTTTTACTCTCCCTAGTGTTAACATTTTATCACACTTTCTTCTCACCTTTGGCTCCAAGTGTACTTTTGCACATGCATGTTACTTGTGTCTTGGAATTGCATCTTTAACACACCTGTCTCCTGTATGAGAATTGAAACACGTTAAAGGGCAGGACTATAGTATTTCTTTTGAATTGGTGTCTGTAAAGGTCTTTTGGTAATGGTTGGTAAGAGAATAATTCTGAGATGCCTTAAGTTATAGGACAGAGAAAGGAAGGAGGAAAGAGATAAGGAAAAATTATTTTAACTGATAGCTTTAAGCAAAAATCAACAAAGAAAGAGAAAGAACTGCTTTACATTCTTTTCCTGTGTGTTAAAGATTAGCCACCAAGGTGGCATTGTGTGTGCTTTTAGAACCAGCCGGTGAGGAAGTAGCAAATGCTTCTCTTTATGGATTATCTTCCTCTTTCAGGACTTCATCTGCTTTATGTCTTCCGGCTTCTACATATAACCATTGTGGGTTCAGTGTAAAGGATTTATGGTTTCTTCTCTCCGACGTTTTGGTAAAACACCCTAGGTCCGCTTGATATTTTCTCAGCCGCTATCTGGCCATGCTCTTGACGGCTGAGGGAGTTTGTCTCAGGACCAGTCCTTTTTTATTTTCTGAGACAGGATCTTGCTAAATTACCAAGCTGCCAGGGATGGGCTGGAACTTGTGATCCTCCTGCTTTAGCCTTCTGGAGCACTAGGATTATGAGATTTACCACCACCCTAGCTAAGGTGGATCCTTTTTTTGGGGGGCTAGCATCTGTAACAACTCCATAAATCTTTCGGTTTAGAGATCCCTTAGTCTCAGCTTTTTGATTCATATATATTGACAGAAGACCAAGAAGAAAAATACAATGAAGACAGAATGTGACGCTCACAGGCTGTTCTTCACCACCAGCATTGCTGAAGAGGCTGTTGGAGTGTCCATTAGATGTGGGTAGTCTCCATGGTGGCCATGGCTGTGTCTCACAGATACATATCCAGGAAAACATTATGTGCCAAGTAGATGGTCGATGTTACAGTATTCCCTTCCCCACTGTTCCTGAATACCTTGGGCACAGCAAGCATAAAGTGTACCACTGAGCTGTGTCTTTCACCAGTGAGATTTACTAGAATTCATTTGCTCTGGACTCCCTTGATGGTACAGCTGCTGTGCCCAGGGAAGACTGCTCCCCCTGGGCTTCTGAGAGAGGCAGGAATGCTAGCTGGCTGTGGTGGGATGGGACGTTGCCCTTCTGGCCACTCAGCAGTTGTCCTGTCCTTTTGACTTTGCAGAGGAGGTGGTACAGGACCGATACTGAGTACTACCTGCTGCAGTTCACGCTGACTGTCCGCTGCCTGTACTACACCAGCTTCAGCCTCGAGTTCTGCTGGCAGCAGCTGCCCGCCATGCGTGGCCGCCACTCCTTCCCTTGGATGCTGGCCTACGTCTTCTATTATCCCGTCTTCCACAACGGGCCTATCCTCAACTTCCCGGAGTTCATCAAACAGGTAGCAGCACACTGGGGCCTGGATTGGAGGTCATTAGCTTGAGGCACCGTCTGTGTTGCTGTGCTCTTCTGTGAGACATGAGTCTCTGCACTTTGATGCATCCACAGATGAAAACACACACCATTCATTGTCACGAGTTTCTGCAGATAGCTGAGTAAACCGAAGAAGAAGTGGTCACAGTGAAGGGTGCCCCATGTCCCATGTGTCAGCCCGAGGGGCCCAGCCCTGACTCAGGGCGGACTGTGGCTCCTGGGGTCCATAACTCTGCACCTGGGGACTTGGAAGCTGGTGTCCCTGCAGTGAAGCCCCAGGGGAAGAAAAAGTTCCATTATGATGGTACCACTTGAAAAGGTGGGAAGAGAAGCTATCTGTGCTGTTTGTTGTGTTGTTGTATTGTGTATTTCCTTTCATATTCACAAAGTGCTATTGAAACAGCCCTGCAGTAATCTGGGAATTATTTGGTGACCTAGATGAGAAAACCATGAAAGGGAGATTGCTGAAGGCAGCAGTGAATGTGCAGGTCCGGGCTGAGTCCCATGTGCCTGAGGCTCTGCCTCCCTCCTTTCTTGGACAGCATCCTTGGAGCAGATGTGTGCCGGGGAACTGTTCTTCCCACCTCCGCCCTCCGCCCTCCTCAGCCTCGGCCGTCTCCTGGGACAGTGAAACACGCTGATTCACCTCAGGTGTTCACGGTCAACGGGACTTAAAACAGCTTCCCAAGGGTGACGTCTACCCACTCCTGTCGCCAAAGCACATCTCGGTGGAGGAGCGAACAGTGTGTACAGACAACAGAACACACGTGCCCACACGATGCACACACGTGCACACTCCTGGAAGCATAGTTCAGAGCTCAGGGCCAGCAGCAGTGTTGCACGTTTCTGAGGAGACAACACAAAAGGAGCCAGTGAAAAAGGAGGGTGACTTAATTTGTCTCAAAAATTCCACTAAGTTAATGTTGGACTTAAAAGTAGGTTTTTACATTATAACAATAGCATGATATGCTGAAATTGTCTGTGAAAGCCTATGACTTTTACCCTTTGGAAATCCCAAGTGAAACGGACACTCCGGGCACAGGTTGCCTCTGTCTGGGCTGCACAGGCTCACTCCCCTGTCACGAGGCTGTTTCAGGACTGTGGTGAGTGCTTGCTAGGAGATGGAGATGGTGCTGGCAGCTGAGGGTCTCTCTCACTTCTCAAAGTGTGGTCCCCAGCCCGTGGTATCCCAGGCCCTGCCCCAGACCTCTGACCTGGGTTGGCGCCTGCAGCACAGCTTAAGGGGTCTTCTAGGTGACTCGGACCCATGTTCCAGGCTGGAAACACTATACTGAGTTCCTCACGGCGGGGAGGGGAGAGGGGCACAGAACGGTGTGAGTTCAGATCCTCCACATTTGGTCTCTTTCACAAGCTCCTCGACATTGTGGAGTTTGAATTTTCCAAACTCTCCAGCCAGTATCTTTTGGACTGGACACCTAACCCGCTCAGTTCACTGGGGAACAGTTATTTTCCTGACTGCATCTTGTCTGTAAGGACATTTTCCCTGTGGGGTCTGCACTTTATTATGGACAATTATCACAGTTTTTATTTCTCATCGCCTTTTAAACTGTGGCCTTTGGGACCCAGTGGGAGTGTTACAGCCCTGTCTGGGTCCCGGGGGCTGTGAGATCAATGCTCACCGAAGCCCCGGTCTGGGGAGGAGGAGGAGAGAGGGGGGGCTTTTCTTGTAGGGCTCACGTAGACTCTGGGTTCCGTTTGTGTCTCACCCTTCTCTTTCTACTCCTTGCAAAATGAAGGCAAATGCAGAATCCAGGGAATTTGGAAAGGCATAGAAAAATTAGTTAAGAAAAGGGAAATGATCAACTGCAGGGAAAATAAAACATGATCCAGGAAGCCTCTGCAGTCGCCAGGAGGCCAGTGGGGTTCTTAGCCCCCTGGGAGGGAGGAGCTGAGGTGCTAATCCGGTAGCGTGAGTCGCCCTGGGCACCAGGACTAGGAGTTTAGACCACCTGGCCTGTGCCTCTCCGTACAGAGCCGGAGATGGGGCTTCACCACCAGGGGGCAGCAGAGCCCCACCGCGGAGCCAACCCAGGAGGGAAAGGCCAGCGGGGACTCTGCTTGACCCGGGTTAAAAGGAGTGGGCCCAGGCCTGCAGAGCGCTCACGAGTGGTGAGCATACACGTTTACATATGCGAGCGAGCTGAGGGACGCATGGTGGTGTCCTCTGTCCTTGAAGGCTGGTGAAATTTGCACTCTGCAGTTAGGAACAGGTAAGACTCACGTTACAGGGCCACACTACCGAACCGGAGGCTGTATCCTGTGGCACTCAGAGTTTCGGAAACCAGAGCTCCAGTTTTGTTTTGGCCATGCTGCTGTGGAATTCGGATCCTGAAGGTGGCGAGGAGGGGTCCAGGAGGTCCAGGGAGAGCCTGCCTGTTGCTCCCGGGTTCAGCTGGGAGCCGGCACCTTCCGTGCACAGTGGGAGGAAGGCGAGGCCCGAGCTGGGCACGGAGCTGGAGCACAGAGGCCCTGGAGCCCAAGCCCCTGCCCTGCCTAGGCTGGGGAGCGGCGGGCGGGCCCCTCACCTGCACAGCTGCACACCCCGCTGTGAGATGTTGGAGAGCAATTCCTCCCTTGCAGGGCCGTGGTGAAGGCCAGGTTCGTGCAGCTGACGTGGGTCCACACACAAACGCTGTGAGCGCGAGCTGTGACTGTTGCTGTTAGACTGGGCTGAGCATGTGGCAGCTCTGCGCTGAGTCCAGGCCAGAAGGAGCGCCTGGTGCCAGCCTGTGGGAGGGCACCGCGGCCGGCCTTCGGACAGTGCTGTCCAGACCAGGGGCCCCGCTGCTGAGAGCCTGGCAGGGGCTGGGCAGGTCGGCCGTGTCCCCGAAACCCTTGGGTGGCTGGAGGCGGTGTTGGCTCTAGGGAGCACCGAGTGTGCCGAGAGGGCCGATGATACTGGCCGAGTGTGCGCTCGCTCCGGGTGGTGCCCGGCTCTGGTCTCTCAGCCCTCAGGTGACCTGGCGAGGGAGACGCCTCCGTGGGGACTACGTCTAGGCAGCAGTGACGGCAAGGAGAGGCGAAGAGCGGGCGGCCCCGGGCGGAGGGAATAGGACATGCCGAGTCGCGCGGACCGTCGGTGGTGTGTAGTGTGGGGTCCCGGCTGCGGCAGCAACGCTGCTGAGCGGTCCGAGAGGGACCCAGCATGCACAGCCGAGGCGGGGAGCGGGATGTGGCTTGGGTCAGAGGTGTGGAAGAGCCGCATGCGGGACCCTGGGGCCAGAAGGCAGGAGCTGTGCTCAGCAGAGAGGCTGAGAGCAGTAATCGGCCCCGGTCGGCTTTGTCTGCTGCTCTCAAATGTTGTGTGACCAGTGAGCAACAGAAGAGAGCCTTTCATCTTGGGGGTTGTCATCTTTCATCGTCAGAATGTTTTCAAAGAGACAGAAGGCTTCGATCTTCCCTTTTATGCAATTTGCATGAAATGAGGTTTTAAAATATAATGTGTTTTAAACTGCACTCTGCAGATGAGTTCACCTGTATTCTTCGTGGAGCCCGAGCCCAAGTCCCCGTGGTGGCACTTTGCAGTGGTCTTCCCGGGGAAGGTCCCCTGGTTGGAACCATCCCTAGCACAGTTCTCGCGCGAGCTCATTAGATGACCTCTGTGGGGCTTGTCTGCTTTTCTGGATTGCAGGGTTTAAATAAATGGAGTCCACTAGGCTGGGGTGTAAATGGATGTCATAAGGACACAGCCCACAAGAACGGCAGATAGCCTTTGTTTAAGGAAAAGCAAATAAATAGTGTGACAATTGGGCTGCTTCCCTTCTCCCTGGTGAATTTGCACAACTAAGAAACATACGTTTCTGTTGATTGCAAGGAGGAGGCACACGGTTGTAGGGAGGAGTCCAGCCCTTGTCCTGCTGTGACACGCGGTTATGCCTTCTCCGACCTGTAGGGAAGTTCCGGTTGGTGGAAACTGGGGAAGTCATTCCTCGGAGCAGTCAGCCACAGCCGCACCCCACGGCGTTCATTACCGCAGCTGTGCCCTTTTAGGCTGCGCACGGAGGGCTCCGAGTGGCCTTGAAGGGTGACTGCCGGCGGCTGGGACGATGCTGAGCTCAGCCATGCCCTGGCCCTGCACTGTGGCAGCTTTCTCCGCTCTCGGGGCTGGGGTGCATGGCATGATGCCCAAGCCCCCAGAAGAGGCCCTGTCTTCAGGGGACCCACGCTGGAGGTTGACTTAACACTCAGCGGCCTGCGCACCACGCACACAGTTGATTGTGTAGAAACCGATGCTGGGCACAGTGTTGCACACCTGCGATCCCGGCACCCTGGGAAGCTGAGGCAGGAGGATGGCAAGTTTGAGCCCAGTTTGGCGATTTAGGAAGACTCTGTCTCAAAATAAAAAGGGGTTGGGAAAGTAGCTCAGTGGGGAGAGCCTGGGTTTAATCCCTACCGGTGAAAAACAAAAAGAAGTAGAGACACGCGGTTAGGAGAAGCTTGTGTCCTGCCAACACTGCTCTTGAGGCCACTGTTGTTGAACCAGGCGGCATGCATTTGTCTGAGAGGGCCCCGGAGGCCCCAGCCGCCTTGGCGAAAGCTCTTCTGGCCTCCGCGAGTAAGTGGGTGCCACGTGCCAGGCTGCCTGGCTGCAGTGACTGCGCCTTGTGAGCCATGGCTTTCCAGCAGCAGGGAGACCGACTGCTCTCAGTCCTGGAGGCAGAGTCAGGGAGCAGCGCTTGCGTCTGGGGAGGCCACTTCCTGCTCACAGCGCTGCGTCTCTGCACCGTGTCCTCAGGGCGGCACAGCCAGCTGTTGCCCACTGAGGGCTCTGTTCTCAGGCCCCACCCATGACCTGGTCCCTGTCAGAGGTCCCAGACCTTCACTGTGGTCCGGAAGCTGGGATTCCAGATGTGAATTTCCGAGAGACACAAACATGGAGACCATAGCTTTGCTTTGGTTCTTGGTTCCTCGTTTGCCGGTAGCTGTTAGGTCCAGATGAATTCGCTTCAATGGGTCAGGAAAAGGGTGGAGAATGAAGAGAGATGAAGTCAGTGCAGAGCTAAGGAAACAGTGAGTGGGTGTTAAGTAGGGAGGAAGTAGGGAGGAGCACAAACTGCTCTAGCACCAGAGAAGCCGTGACTTGGGAGACACTGGCTGCCCAGTGAAGGCTGACGCTGGCCCTCTGTGGCAGGCGGGATGCAGAAATAGTGGGGCCCGAGCACGCCTGCTCACTCCCAGAGAGGGCCAAAGCTGTGCTTTCATCCTGATTACAGAACAGTTTCAAAATCATCAAAAACAGCTGAAGTGGTGCCTGCCTTGTAAGCACAAGGACCCGAGTTCAATCCCCGGTATCCACCCCCCAAAAAAACACAGCTGAAGTGTCAGTGTCCAGAGACTGGCGCTGCATCTGGTGTGCACTCCCACCTCCTCGTCTCCTTCTGCCTGTGGAGCACGCGGTTCCGTGGCTGCGTGATCCCGCAGTGCACACGTGCACTAACCAGGCCCTCGGGGTTGGGTGCTGGCTGTGCGGCTTTTTCTTTCTCCTGAGTTAAGTGCTGCAGGCATCCATGAGCTGGCAGTGGGCACCTCTTCCCTGAGGGCCCCTGGCTGAGGACCCACTGCAGCAGGCTTCCCGGACTGCTCCACATGTGTGTGCTGGGCTTAAAGCATCGAGCTGTTCGTGCCCGGAAATGGACCTGCCTCGGCACTTGCACCGCTGTCCTTGAAGCGATGTGATCACTGCAGGGTCGCAGCAGGCTGAACCTTCCTTCTTGGAGAGCCCTTCCCGAATTCCACGCTTCCCTGGCCCAAAGCGGTTCAGGGGATCCTGTAAAGCAGTGGCCGCGTTTCCTAACCATGCAGTGGTGTGGACGGAGAATGTATTAGTAAGGTGAACACCAGGAGCTACAGGAAGTTCCTGCCAGCTTTATTCTTTTCCACTCCACAGTGGTAAGAGTGAGCTGCACAGGGAATAACTGGGCAGACTGGAAACAGCTCCCTGAGCAGCTTGTTGTGAAGGCTTGGAGCCGCAGGACTGCCTAGCCTGGCTGCTGGTGATGGAAGGTGGTTTCGGAAGGTGGTGCGATGCGTGCTTAAAAGAAGAAAGCAAATCCCCTCACGTGGGTCTCCCTCCTCCTCTGTGGGCAGTGCCTCTGCTCCCCTCGGCAGAGGAAGCCATGCATCTGGGCTGCTAGTGGACAGTACAGCTGTGGAGGTGACTCGGTGTCTTCCTGGTGTCACAGAGACGGCCACAGGGACAGAGGACACAAACTCCTGGGCCCTTGAGCGGTTACTCTTTAAAGGCGTGATTTGTGTTTTCTTCGCACGTGTTCAGGGACTCAGAAGTTGCTTTTGCTACAGAAATACTGACTCTGCCCTTGGGCTTACAGGGATGCGTCTCCTTTACTGCCTTAGAACTTCGGGTCCATCCTCGTTCAGCTGCCGTTTTGGCAGGTTAATCATGGGGAGTGTGTGTCCGAAAGCTGGCAGACAAGGTCGGTTAGCCCTCAGTTCACATCCCCTTCAAGACTGGACACCAGAGAAGCGCTTTAAGGGGACTTTCAGTGAGCACCTGGGGTCTCAGTTGGTGCCTGTGGTCACGTCAGATTCCAGCACAGCCTCCACAAGACCAAGACTGTCCCAGGAAGAAGTCATCGCACAGGGACCAGACAAGGCCCGACAGAGACTGCTCCTGGATCCATCTTGCTGATGAGCAGAGATGATGGTGGCCCAGAGCTGAGCCGGTCCCTTCCTCTGTTAATGGGCAGCCTCATCTTCTCCACCAGGGCTGTTTCCTTGGTGCTCCCTGGGTGCGAGTCCCTTTCCTATTCTCTCACTTTTGGTAGTGGGGATTGAACTCAGGACCTTGTGCTTTCCAGGCAAGCGGTCACACCACTGAGCTACATCCCTGCTCCTATTCTCCCACTTTCTAACTCTGCATAAGTAATCTGCCTTACCTCTCACGGACACACCCTGCGTTCACCCTACATTCACCCTGGGTGGGTTGGGAAGCCCCTTGCCCCCTTGGGGAGCCTCCGTGGACTCTGGCCAGTGACACGGGGACGGCCTTTCTGTCCTGAACCCAGGGTCAGATGCAGCACCCGGCCGATGTCCTCTACCAGCCCTGGTGTGCAGGGTCTGCCTGGGGTGCAGCGTGGCTCACCCCTCACAAGAACGCCCTCTGACCCGTGAAACCTTCTCCTTGTAAGACATGGAAAATGTATTACTGCTCGCTCTTGCTTTTTCCTGTTTGTCTACTGGTATAAGGATGAAATCGAATTGACTTCAAATTTTATAGCATGTTTATGAGTTCCAGGATCTCCATTTAAATTATGTGCAATGCCTGTAGGCCGGTCACCGTGATAGAACTGCCTCCTGTCTGTTCCGTATACTTAGTATTCACTTTCAGCGCTGAACATACCTAACCTCAAAATCGGAAATGCTCCAAAATCCAGAGGTTTTTGAGCTGGCTTTCGGATCGGGGCTGCTCAGCTGGTGATGCCCATGCACATATCCCCAGATCTGAAAAGCTCGGAATCCGGAATGCTTCTGGTCCTGAACATCTGTAATCAGGGGCACTGCCCTGCACTTCCTCCACCTCAGCAGTCCGAGTGTCCCCTCTGGCCTCACACCCCTCTCAGGTCTGTCACATCCCTGCCCGACACAGGAGATGCGTCACAGTCACTGCCGAACTTAGTGCTGCGTCATAGTTAATCACTGTGGGCTCACTCACCTCCTGAGATGGCTCCGCTGTGGGCCGGTGCTGGAGTCTGGTCCTGATCCGGTCTGGCTGACGCCCGTGCTCTAACCGTCGTGACTCCCCGGGCTGCATCGTTCTGCTTTGTGTCACAAACAGCTCAAGGCAAAGCCACACACTGGGACTCCGTTTTCCTCCTCTCGCTTCTTGGCTGTTTCCGGCTCTCCCCTCCTCTTGCCGGTCCTGTGCCCCTTTTGCCCTAGCCAGACTTTTCCAGCTGCAGCCTCAGCGGGTGGCAGTGAGGACAGCCAGGCTGATAGCGAGTCCAAAGGGGCGGCAGGGTCCGAGGTGCGGTGCTCCCCCTGCATGCTTTCCAGGCCGTTGTTGAGGTGGGGGACGCAGGGGTTGTCACGGTTCCTGGCACGGGTAGCCATTAGCCTTCTTAGGAATGAGTTTCACCAAGGACCTTGAGTATTTATTGCCAAGGCAAACCACCCCAACCAAGCAAGGCAACACAATTCTGGAGAAGTTTATTAAGAACCTTGTTGCGGGGATGCAGTTTTAGAAATTGGGCCACACGCTAATGCCATCTTCTCTCTGTCTCCACACCAGATGCAGCAGCCAGAGCTCTGCTCGCTGAAGGACAGCCTCTGCGTCCTGGCCCGCGGCCTGGGCCGCCTGCTGAGCTGGTGGGCCCTGGCCGAGCTGATGACCCACCTCCTGTACATGCACACCCTCTACGGCAGCCCCCTCCTGCGCGATGTCGGCTACTGGGCGTTAGGTAATGCAGAAGCCCCCGGCAGGAGGAGGCACCCGGGGTTGGCCAGAGCCAGTCTGCTGCGGGACACTCAGGGTGCAGTTGCCTTGAGCAGAGCTCCTCTTGCTGAATCTTATGCCTCTGTGTCCGAGACTTGGCAGGGGTCTCTTGGTGTGTTGTTGGGGGTGAGCGTTGTGCTCCTGGACTGGGGGTCCAGGTGCAGCAGTGCCTCCTGTGTGGGAATCCTGCCGAGCTTGGCCAGGTGCACATCTTCCTGGTGTGGCATTGAGGGCGAGCATTGCTGGGAGTAGCCTGGGGTCCACTCTGAGACTGAGCTGCTCTGCAGTGTGCCCTTCCTCTCTGTGTGGGGGGCAGAGCTCGAGCATTAGGCAGGCAGGCCTGGGCGTGGTCCCAGCTGCGCTGACCGAAAGCGGGCATCTTCATTTCTAACGTGAGCCTTGCCTTTGTGGAGTTGTTTTGAAGATGGAGTGAAATATATGCGTTAAGGGTGTGGCCATAAGATGGCTGGAGGGTAGATAAATGGCACGTGAGTGTGTGCGCGCGTGAATATGTGCAATTGCCCTTTGTCCCTGTTTCTTATCCACCTTTCTCTCTATACTGCCAGGAAGGCTGGACTGAAGTTTCCTCTCCAGTACGGGATTTGGGAGGAACCCATTGTCCTTTAGCCCTCTGGCCGGCACGGCAGGACAGGCCTGGTCCCGTGTCCCCCACTGTGCTCTGGAAGCTCCCGGCGCCCAGCCCTGCTGTTGGCTTCCCCAGCTGTCGCTGCGGCAGGGCTGGGGCCTTCCAGCAGGTCAGGCTGCCCCTGCCAAGGGCTCCCTGTCTGTTTGTGGATTTATAGATTTTTAAACTCTGGATTGTCCTTGGTGTCGTACATCCTTAAAGATTTCTGAGGAAGAAGACATTTTGGACTGAAAGAAATGGCAAACTGTTTTAATGACAGCCTCTTTTTTCCAAACAGGTGTTTTCTTTCTTTTTTTAAGATTAGATCTGTGTGGCTTCTTCGTGCATTTGCTGTGGCTGCAGAAGGCTCTTCAGGTTTTTCCTCAGTGTTCAATAGCAGCACGCGTCTCTGGGTACAGTGCAACATTTGACTGCTTCTCATGGCGGGTACTGATCAGATCAGGGAGGGCAGCGTTTGCAGCCCTGTCATTTCATTGCCTTCCAAGGCTTCTCTCTCCTCCATCTCTTTGTAGCTGGGGTGATGAACATCACAAGGTTTCAGCGAGAAAACGAGGCAGGAGGGAGAGGTTCGTACTAAGCCGGTCCTGGTGGGACAGCACCTGAATTCAGAGACCCTGTCAGCATGGGGATTTTTAACTGTGAGTAATGGGAAACTCTAAGGAAAGGCGTCACTTGTAGCTGTCACGCCTGAGGTCGGCGCTAAGCATGGAGATGTCGTGGTCCACTTCTCAGCTCTCAGTCGGAGCTGAGCAGAATGGCAGGAGCCTCTTGCTGTAGCCACATCCCACCGTGCTTCCGCCTGGGTCTGAGGGATAACCTCGGCTCGTCTTTAGCGTTCCTCCCTTTTTCTTCCGTGACCATAGCTAAGTCTCTGCAGTTGCACTTTCAGACCTCACCATGTAGACAGATTGATGGTCGTGCCTTTCACCGCCCCAGAGCTTCCTGTTCGTCTGGGTGCCGCAGGCTCCTGCCTGCCCTCCAGCTGGAGGCCTTGAGTTTGCCAGGCTTTGCTCTTACAGGTGCTCCCTCTGTGAGTCTCCTGGAGCGCAAATCCCCAGCTCCCCACGGGGCAGTGGCGCGGAAAGAAATGCACTCTGCATTGTGTATATGTTAATCCACTAGCCATGAGCGTCGGTATTTTCCTCATATTTTATTTTCTGTTCTTTATTCGTTTGTGGGAAAATGCTTTTAGAAACTGCTCATCCGAGTAAGTTCCTACCCAGAGTCTGTAAAACACTGCTCTAATATATACACCTAGAAATGGAACTGATGGGTCGTGTGCAGTGTGGTTCACAGGATAATGCCAAATTATTTAAGTTAATTGAAACAATTTATCTTCTTCTTGAAAGCCTCTGAAAGTTTCTGCTGCTTGAAATTCTCATTGGCCCTCGATAATGGCATAATACTTATGAGAACGTGGAGGGTGTGGACTATGCCTCCTGGTTTTAATTTTATGTCCTCAATTACTAGTTAGTCTGAGTGTTTTTAATAGGTTTACCGACTTTGGCACATCATTTTCAGTGGTATGACTTGATACCTGTTGTTAATTTTTCTACTAGGACTCTTTATGGTGTTAGGAGAGTTATTTATTTCACATCACCTCCTTTTTTAGTTTGTATTGTGCTGCAAATATTAATATCTTCTTCTGGCTTGTGGTTTGACTTTTATCTGTTGTCTTTCCATGAATAGACTTTATTTTAATATAGTAGCTTTTATAAATTTTCCTTTATGCTTTGTGCTTTTATGGGTCATTTAAAAATAGTTTTTTCCTATTCCAAGGTTATAAAGATACTCTTTTATTTTCCTCTAAAGGTTTTAAAGATAAAAAGTGTCTTTTGTTACTGTATAAATTCGTTTTGTATAAAATGAAAAAGATATAGATCACCCCAATTTAAAAAGGAAATCACTGCGTTACTGTCTAGAGAAAAGACTGCACAGTTAAAGGCAAATCTTACACAGCCTCACATTTCAGCTGTTTTCTTTTAGAGGCATGAGTTGCGCACAGCGGGTTCAGCGCGTTACACACAGGAGAGAAAAACCGGCCCGGACCAACTCACTCCTCTTCTTCTTCCTCTCCCCGCCCCCTTCTTTCTCCTCTTCCTTCTCTTGCTTTTCTGCCTTGACGATGTCCTTTCTGCCGCGCCAGGATTTCCCGTACGCGGCGGGCAGCGCGGAGCCCCGGTGCCTTTCCTCCTCCTGCAGGGCCGCCCAGGGAGGCCTCCTGGGCGTCGGGCCCTGAACTCTTAGGAGGGACCTAGGTTTTCACTGCTCGTCCACAGGGGCCCTGTCCGCCTTCGCCACACCTTAGGTTTCCTTTCTCTTGAGCAGTCGCGGTCTTCCACCCCTCTGAGCACGGCTTAGAGTTGACGAAGCGTCAGGTGTGCACAGGCTGCACCTGGGGACATCTGCCCCCGGCGGCTCGGGGTCTCCTTCGCCGCCTCGCTCCTCTTCCTCCCGGGGCAGGGGCCCGGTGCCCGCCCCGCACTGTCGTGTGGACGCG